CATATAGTTGCAACTAGTTGCAACGTCATCTTTAGTTTGAGCATAATAACTATATTGAATGGCTATTCCAAATTGGATTATTAAAGACTCTTTTTCTAGTAATTAGTCAAAATTTATTATATTATAATAGCATTAAGGGTTTGTCACATAATGCTTACTTTGCATAGCTTATTATGATGACTAGTGATTCAGTAGTTCAGATTAACTTGAGAAATAGCAAGAAGAGACTTGTTTTTTGAAGTATGATAACATATAGAACTAGTTAACCAATAATTAGGATACCCAGGTGATTAAACATTAGAATTAATCTCAAAAAAAGGTTAATTTAAAATAGTATAAGGTTGATTTTGATTTTGTTTAATTAACTAGAGTTTTGAATGAATTGAGTCAAGTCAAGTTTAAAGATTAATTCTATTCAACTCTTTTTTTTTCAAGTTGAGTCAAGTCAAATTTATTCATAAAATCTTTTAATTTGATTTAATTCAAGTTATATAAATTTTAAATTCGACTCAATTTGACTCAATTTAATTTTAATTTGATTCGATTTTAACTTAAATTTATTCAAATTGAGTCAAGTTCAATCAAGTTATAAGTCAATTTTAAATTTTTATAAACATTTAAATATAAAAAAAATCCCCAAAAAATATTTCTAAAGTACATTTATATTAAAGGGCTATTTCTAAATTAATAAAAAAATAAAATAAAAAAATAAAAAATAAAAAATAATAAAAAAGAAGTAAAAAAAATAAAATAAAAATAAAAAGGATCAGAAGGGATGGGAAAGAGAAAGAAAAAATAAATAAATAAAAATTATTGTCAAGAATCAAAAAAAATTAAAATAATAATAATAATAATAAAAATTAATAAAAAAATGAAAAGAATAGTAAGAAGGAAATGAAAAAAAATGAAAAATAGAAAAAAAACAAAAAAAGATAAAAAAATATTAAATAAAAAAGAAATAAAAATAAAAATAAAAAAAAGTAAAAAAAAAAAGAAATCTGAAATTTATGAAGTGATAAAGCTAAAAAATAATAAAAAAAAATCCAAAAAAAAACTAAATTAAAAAAAGAAAAAAAAAAATATTAAAAAATAAATACAAAAAAAAATAAAGAACAGGTGGGAAAAAAAAAACCAAAAAATAATATTAAAAAAATTAAAAATATATAAAAAAATAAAAAACAAGATGCAAATAAAGAAAAAGAAAAAGAAAATTAACGAAAAAAAAAATAAAAAAAAAATAAAAAAAGATAAAAAAATAAAAAATAAAAATTAAAACGATATCAAAAATAAATTAAAAAAATAATAAAAAAAAGATTAAGAGAAAAAGAGAAGAGGAAAAAAAATAAATTGAAAAACAAAAAAAATAAAACTGAAAAAAAAAATTTATTTAAAAAATAAAAATATCAGAAAGAGAAAAAAAAATTTAAAATTAAAAAATGATATTGAAAAAAATTAGAATCAAAAAAAATAAAAATAAAAAAAATTTTAAAATTAAAGAACAAAATCAAAAAAAAATTAAAAAAAAATAAAAAAAAATAAAAAATCAGGGGGGGGTAAGCGAATATTTCATCATTGTTCTTCTTGAATAATTTTTTTATTATTTAAGTTAAACGATTCGTTATCGTTCTTCTTAAACAATTTTTTTATCGTTCAAGTTGAATAATTTTTTATTATTCTTTTTAAACGATTATTTTTCTATAGGATCACAATTTTAGAACTGCAATTTCAGGACTTAGTCCTAAAATCCAGTCCTAGAATTTAAGTCCTATAGACTGAAACTTTCAGAACCAGACTAGGACTGGATTGGATTTTAACATCTCTAAAAATAATACTATTTCAAGTCAACTTAAGTCAACTTAAATCAAGTTGAGTTTAAATCGAGTTGAGTTAAATATTTTAATTTGACTTGGATTTGATTTGACTCACAAATTATTGAGTCATAAAAATATAAATTCAACTTGATTTAAATTCGATTCAGCTTATCTGACTCATGAGTTAACTCGATTTGTCTAGAATTCTATAATTAACTAAATAGAAATTTTTGTTCTCTTTCTTTTGTAATTTGTAATTTTATAAAAATTTACTTTACTTTTAATAAAGATTATGCAAAGCTATTGCATGTAAAAAAAAGTAATATAAATTTAAAAAAAAAAATAATTATATAATAAATTTATGATAAAATTAGTGAAATTTAAAATTTAAAATTAGTTAAGCTAATAAAATATAATTTTACCAAATATTATTATTACTTATTTATAAATTATATATATTTATATTTAATTAAACTTATATTATTTTTAATAGATATTTAATTTGAATTAATTTAAAATATACTAATTTGATTTATTAAATAATTTAAAAGTTATAAGAAATTATAATTTTATAATTTTTTTTTAAAACTAATTTATAATTATAATTTATATTATATATATAGTATGTTAAAAATAAAAAAAAAATATAAATTAATTATTAGGATTTTACAAATTGATTTAGGATTTTAATTAATCAAATTATATATTATTTTGATTTGATTTGATCAAATTTAAATTAATATCTAAATATTTGATTGAATTTGAATAAATTATATTAAAATTCACATTTAAAACTTTAAAAATATTTTTTATTATAAATTTATCTTTAAACTTTAAAGATAAATTTTTTAATAAAAATCATTTATAAAGTATTAAAAGTATTTTTTTTACTAATATATCATAATAAAAATTACCTTTAAAGTTTCAAAACATTTTATTAATTATTTAATAATAAAAATCACATTTAAACTTTAGAATTATTTTTATTAATATTTAATAATAAAATTTACCTTTAAGTTTTGAATGGATTTTACTAATATTTAATAAAAAAAATCATCTTTAGAGTTTTAATAATAAAAATTTCTAAAATTATTATTTTTATTATTTTAATTTAATATTATAGATTTTAGAAATCTTATTAAAAGGAATTTATTTTATATAAATACTACTTAAAATACTAAAGTTCAAAATTCAAAAGATTCAAAATTTAAAATTCTAAATATATTAAAAATTATATTAATATTTTCCTAAATATTAATTATTTATTTAATATAAAATTATATCTTTTACAAATATTATTATTGTATTTAACATATATAATCAGTATAAGAAATAGATTTAAAAAAAAAATAATAATTTAGATAAATTTATCAATAATTATATTAAATTTACTTGTATTTTAATATAGAAAATATCCTCCCCGTTAATATTATTCAAATTAATACATATTATCTATATCTATTAATACAGATTGTAATTTAACTTAAAATACATCTATTTATATAATGAATTTTTATGTATCAAATATTTAAAATTGAAAAAAATATAAAAAATATATAACATCTTTATCATAGGAAAAAAAACCAATATAATTAATGTTTAGAATTTATTAATAAGAAAAAGATTGGTTATTATTATTAATATTACTTGTATATCATTTAATAAAAGTATTTAATCAATTAATTATCGAAATTTTTCTTTTATGAAAACGGCAATGAATCAGTCTTTTTCTTTAGTTTCAAGTTCGTGTTAAAATTATTTATTAGAACGTTCTTTCTTCTTCGGGAGCCTTGCGGTGGGATCTTTTTCAATATTTGAAATGAGTTAAAATGATTTTCGATATTCGAATATTTAATTATTATTTCAAACGGATAATCCGATAGGTGGGTTCAACTTTTCATTTATTTTGACAAGAATTTAAATTGAGCGTTTAAAGAAAAATCGATCCACATAACCAAAGCGAAGCGCGAAATTTTTTTTTTTTTCAAGATTAATTTTATTTTTTTTTTTTTTGTCTTGGTTTTTTTTTTTAAAAAAAAAAAAGTGAAAAGAACCAAAAAAAAAAAAAAACGAAAAAAAAAGAGTTTAAAAGTATTTTTAATAATAATAAAAAGATTATTATTATGATATAATTTTTTTCTTTTTTTACAAAAAAAAAAATTCATAGAAGAAAAGGTAATTTGAAATTTTTGAGAATTAGGTGAAATCTTAGTGAGACGTATAAAATATAAAAAAAAAAAAGCATATTTATTTAATTTTGTAAAATGTATATAAAATCATATATATATTTCACCGAACAAAGAAATTAAATGATAATATTAAAGAAAATAAAACGTAATGAAATTTGATTGAATTGAATATGAAAAAAATAATGGGATTGTGGCATATATAAGCGAAATCATAATCGAAAGAAAAAAAATCGGTTAAAAATATAATATTTTATATATTTTAAGTGTTTTTAAGATAAGGCCGGAATAAGAAATAGTTCAAAAAAAAAAAATAAAAAGTCGGGAAGAAAAAATTTACAAAGAAAGAGAAGAGGAAAACAAGATTGTCCGGTTTTTTTTTAAGGAGAAAAATCTTCTTTCGGCACCTGCCGAAAATTGTCCCATTTTTACAAACAAAAAAACTTTTTTAAATCGGAAAAAAAAAGACGCGTTTCCCCCTCTTTTTTTTTTTTAAAAAAAAAAAAAAATTAGGAATAAGAATAATATAATAATATAAAAAACAAATGTTAAAATTGATTTCGAACACCAAAAAAAAAAATGTCCGGACCCACCCAACCTTAAAAACACGATAGAAAAATCAAACAATGCCAGAGAAATTTTTGATATTTTTATGTACAAAAATTACAAATTAATAAGAAAAAAAAAAAAGGAAAAAATAATAAACGTAAAGGTATATATATATTTTTTTTACGTTATTAATTTCACCTATAAAGAGGATCATAATAACTTCATATATACATATATATATATATAAAGTGTCTTTAGAACTCTCTTCACTATTAAAATAAACTAGTTTCACTCATTATTAAAAGTAAAAAAAAAACTTTTGGAATATGTAAATAAAGAATTAAAAAGAAAAGTAGATTTCAGATATTATACTACGTTATAATAAAAAAAAAAAAAATTGGAATATAATTATTTTAAAAAATGTTCATATTATAAGTATGCAAAATAATTTTACTTAGATACCGCTGCTCACAGTTGATTGATATCCAAAAGATGATGGTTGATGTCGATTGGCCATTATTGGAGTGGGTAACCTATTATTTGCAAACGCGTCGTAACCATTGTTGGCACTAGATGATGTTGAAGTGGTGTTTTGATTGTACGTCTGTGCGAATGAAGAAGCAAAAGCGGGCAACCGTTCATTACTGACTGTCGTTGTTGAGGAAGCCGAGTATACAGGTGACGGTAATTGGTTTGTTAAAGAAGAAGGTGGTGGCAATGGAGAGGTTGGTGTCAATACGCCGGAAGCACCATGATGTAAAGATCCAGTAATCACGTGAACTCCATTACTATTTGATCGATGATTGTAATATTCTCCCCCATTATCGGCAGAATGTTGCGCCATGTAAGAATTTTGTGTGGAAGAAACGTCCCCATTTGAAGCCATACTAACATTTTCGGCGCTATTATTCATTTGAGATCTTTTTGAAGTAAAATAATCACCACGAGGATAAGAAACATCCAAAGGTGAATCAGGAATTGATCTTCGACACGTTTCATCATCATCTGAACAACTCAAACTTGAATTACTAGACCTTCGAGAAACTAAATTTTCATTGTTTCCGGCTCCATTAGCTTCACCATCAAGGTTGCTATTGTCATCCAATTGACCATCATCATCCTTATTATTATTAAGGAGGGAATTGTTCGTAGCTCGTGACTTGCTGCGCCAACTTTGTCTCTTATTCTGGAACCAAATTTGAACTGTTCGCGGTGACATTCCCAATTGTTTTCCCAGTTGAATACGTAACTCGGTCGAAGGGAAGAACGTATGCTGAAATACTTGATTGAGAACTTTTAACTGATTCGCATTAGCACGCTTTCTTTTAGCTTTAACCATGGATCCAGAATTTGTTGGGTCCATGTAAGGAGATCCAAGATGGTGATGGTGAGACATTTGAAGGTGATGGTGAGACGAAGGTGGAGTCGGGTAAGGGTTATGTGACGGTACGGAGTATCCATGATGATGAGAAACTGGATACGTATTCGGAGATTGAGGGCTATGCATACCATAAGATGACGGTCTCGGTTGCTGATGAGCTGCAACGTAATGTCCTCTCTCATAACCATAAGGTGATATGTTACTTTGATGATGATGGTAAGAGTTGTCAGGTGAAACGAGCGATGGATGATCGTTCCTTGGGGAGGCTGCGGTGAAACCAGGTAAGTCCGAATGACGCCTTTGCTCAAGGTTTGATAACAGACGCGGAGATGCATAAGGGTGCAAAGTGGATGTGGTACCATAGGGATTAAAACGCGTTTGGTTGACATCAAAGGAAGATCTGCGAAACGGTTGTTGTTGTTGTTGTTGTTGTTGTTGTTGTTGTTGCTGTTGTTGTTGCTGTTGTTGCTGTTGTTGTTGTTGAACCGCAGATAAAGGTGAGCTCAAAGGACCATTTTGAAATAAACTCGCATTACTATTGTTATTATTTTGAAAGTTACGATGATTACTTTCAAGCGAGTGATGACGTTGCGTTGTCAGTGAAGATGCAGGTGGCAGACGCGCGGTGGAAGAAGAAACAGTATCCATTATGTCTGCGTGTGAAGAATTTGTACGATAAGCCTCGGAAATAGCCGCAAATTGTTCTAAATGATTCCACGATTTTTGGGAAGAATGATGGTCGACCTGCGAATTGATTTTCCCATGATCGGCAGAAGGTGATTGAATGAATTGCCCGTTGGAATCTTCATTATTGTTATTGTTGTTATTATCGGATCTTAGATCTGTAAAACTCCTGATTGGTGGTAAGACGGGCCTTGAACCATGATCTTGTCCCACCATGCATGGTCGTTTCCAAGGGACATCATCGTGAAATCTGCCTTGACCCACATATCTCTCATCATCTTGATGTTGTTGTCGATGGTGATTACTTGAGTTGTTATTATCATTGAAATAATGTTGTGTTTGATCATGCTGTGACAGTTCAAGGTTACCTACTACAACGTCCGACGAACTATTATTGTTATTGTTAAATAAGCGTTGCTTCTCTCGATCAGTCGTCATTGTTGTCGATATGCCAGGTGGAGAATATGGGGGGGTCGTCGCCGGGGTCGATGAATTAGCACGACTTTTTTGGAACGAACGAGATGATCCCAACGATTCGGTATCACCTAAATGACTTGGACTTGAAACATCGTCCATACTATCTTCCTCAACGGAGGCAGAATCATAAACGGGAGATTTTGCTGAGGCCGAAGGTAATTCACACAATAAAGATGAGATATCCAACACGGAAGTTTTCCTTCGTGGGAATGAAGTCGAGATTCTTGAGGATGATCGTTGTTGATGATTATTATTTTTATGTCGGTTATCGTTGGTGTTGCTTTGACAGTTAATAATATTCCCTTCGCTATCATCGTCAAGTACGATTTCGTTGTTGACATTATTAGAAATGTTTTTGTTTTCAACTTCCACAATCATCGTGTCCTCGTCTTCACTATTTCTTCTTGATGATACGTTATGGTGGTGTTTTTGCGGATCGTGATTGTTAAAGTGACGGGCATGTTTGGCATTATTCATAGTAATTTCCATGATAGTATTTGAAGATTGTTTGGTAACAATTTCATCATCGATGCCGTTATCGTGGTGGTGTTGCTGTAATTGTGAAGGCATTGTTGTTGATGTTGTTAACGTTGTTGCTAAAATTGATACCATATATGAAAATACTTTAAAAAAAACGAGTCGGATATTTTTTTTTGTCGAATAAAAAAAAAAAATTATTCAACGTGACAAAAAAAAAAAAAAAAAAAATTTTAATTTTTTTTTCAGCAGTGATTCCACGAATCTACCTTGGAAATCACCACCTAAAAAAAAATAAATGGAGACTTTTTTTTTTTCTTTTCTAAAAAGAAACGGATAATGATAGGGAGCGAAAGTAGGGCGAAAAAAAAAACGTAAACAAATAAAAAGAAGAAAAAAAAAAAGAATGGACGGTGAATCGCGGAATAATTTTTTTTTTTTTTTTTTTTTTTTGATGATAAAGAAAAAAAAAAAAAGAAATATACCCAAGAGTTGGACTGAAACCAAAAAAATTTAATTTTTTTTTTGGGAATTTTTAAAAAGAAGAGGTGAAAAGGAAATAAAGGAAGAGATGGGTATTTATATTTGAAGATGTGAAATTTTTTTTTTTTTATTTTTTTTATTTTTTTTTTTTTTTTTTTTATTCCACACCAACAAAAATATTATTTTATTATATATTATTTTTTTACAGTTTAAAAAAAAAAAATTTTTTTTTTTTGTAACGGGACATTAAATTTCATAAATAAATAATAATAACATATATATATTCTATACAGTATTATGTATAATTAAAATATTTGTGTAACGAAAATAATCTACAATTTGCTTTTTTTATAAATCGAAGATTTTAATCTAAAAAAAAAAAGTTATTGAATATAATATATATTTATATATATAATAATAATAATATTTATAATAATGGAAAATAAAATATTTAAGTTTTAAAGTATGATCGGCTGTTCTATTTAAGGGGACCAAAAATTTAGGGGACCTTTATAGACGAAGTCGAGGGGAACTTAAACGGGGGGTACATAACAAGAATAATGGGAATGTTTGGAACAAGATTTATAAATATTATATAAAATATATATTACTCACGAATATCAAATATTAAATTATAATTTTTTTTTTTTTTTTACGAGGAAAAAAACTTAACAGAACCAATAGGGGAAAATAAATATATATATATATATAAATAAAAATATAAATATATATGTAAGTGAAACGAAGCAAAAGTTATCGATTTCTAAGGCAAAAGGAAGGAATGACATTTAATAAAACAAATACAAGCAGAAACCTACCGAAATGCCGCAAATTATATTAAGAAATTTTAATACGAGGGTATTAAATTTTATTTTTAAAGCGATTATAATGATGACGATAAAATGACGAAAAAAAGTAATGTATCAGGAACCTGTAAAAAAAATTAAAGTAATAAGGGAGCGAAATATGCGATGATAAGAAAATCAGGTATAATGATGCATAAAAAAAAAGAAACCGAGATTTACGTAGATAGTAAAAAATAAAAAGGAGGAGGTATTGATGATGATAAAAAAGGAAGCAGAAAAGAACAATATAAACAGGGGATTCTGAGTGATGATACATTCATTCATAAGGACGAAAAAAAAACCTAACCATCAATGACGCGTAAAAGCATAAAAGGAGAATAATAAATAATTAAGCATGCAAAGAAGAAATAAAAAGGGACAGGGATGAATTAAATTGTATTGATTGATTTACTAGGAAGGAAAAAATTACGCGAAACACCGGGATGGATGTTTATCGTTTTAACATATACTTGCCTCTTAATGGTATCTATTTAAAAATAATTTATTTTATTGTTTTTATTATTGCTCCTATTTATTGTTGTCTAAACCTTTCACTAAATTAGAAAAATAAGGGAACCGGGAAGGAAAGGGAAAGGTAAAAAAAAAATAAATAAAAACGTAAGTGGAAATTATTTTACAAATAATATTATCAATATCATAATCAGGATCATAATCAGTAATTAAAATGAAGGGGGGGTTGAAATCGAATGAATAAATAATAAAATCCAATAGTCCGCTAGAAAATATGTGAGAAAATTTTTTAGCAAAATATTACCAAATAAATAAAATAAATATTAAATGTCATAATACAATAATAATAATTTTTAAAAAAAAATTTAATTCATGAATGGGTTTAAGGGGTTGAAATCATAAAGTAAATTAATTGGTTTATTTTTAATTACCGACAGTAAAATTAAATCGAAATTAGAAAAATCAGAGCGAAATTAAGTAAAGTAAAAAGGGTAAAGGAGGAATGTGAAAATGTAGTAGGAAAATAAATGACAATGTAAGAAGGAGAAACCTCAGGATGTTGGACGCATCGAGCATTGTGTTCAAAGTTATCAAACGTTTGTAATAGATCATTTCATATTAATGATACCTAATCCTAATGCATTGTATTTCGACCAGTCTTCTACCATATTCTATTAGCATTAATGAGTAATTGATCCTTGGCTATAAACAAACAACAAAACGCATTTCCTATTTAATTATAAAGTTATTGGTGTTCAAATGTGGTAATTTTTCCATCCTCACATGTTTAAATAATCATTTCCCAAATATCGTAGTCTCAAACAATTCTCGTTTAGAGTTTGGTTTATTTGTTGGGATGAAAAGGATGGATAAAGTGGGATAAAGAACTTAAAAAGATGATATTATCATGTAATTCGTTATCAATATATTCCGTCAACAAATAACGCTTCTCCCAGTGCGACTTGGCTAACTATATCTAGTTTTAAAAAAATATATTCAAATATTTAAATGAACTTCACATTAAACCATGTATACATAATAATAATGAAATTTCCTGCGCATGTGATACAGTGCATGTGTTTCATGTGATGTTCCGGAATAATGTGCATGTGGATTATGTGACGACGTGGCACTATTCCCACTAATTATTAATCCTACTAGTCCTAATATACACCAATATAAAATCTAGTATAAATTTGTCGATCATTTTATGACGCGTTTTGGGCCCTTTTATCTTTTAAAAAAGAATCACGATTTAAAACCTTTGTTTGTACTTGTAAAAAGTTCGGCCACTTTTTTGTTTCTTAAGATGAAGGGGCTCTTGTTTCAATAAAAACAATATCATTATTTTCTTTTGAAACATTAAAATTCGTATTTTCAATGAAAATTTTTCAAAAATTTTCATTTCGTAAATTTTTAAAACTAATAAAGAAATTGATTTTATGAGATTGAAGTCTTGTATGACATTTGCGGTAATTTGATTGGTCATTTTCAGATTACTTGATCGAATTTACAAAGTTACAAAGTAGAATTTTTAACGCGTTACTCATCATTTCTTTATTCCGATTATATTTTATTCGACAAGTTATTTCTAACGATCATAAATTTTCAAGTAAATTTCGATTTATATACGTAAAATGTAGCACCTTATCGGTTAAAATAAATTGCAAAACACAAAACCAATGATTTGTGTGATTACCTTCTTTTTTTTTTTTTTTTTCTAATTTCAGAAAAAGATGTTAATTCGCTTATCCTTAACAAACATTTATTTCCAAATCAGGCAATTATTATAATGCTTGAATCATTACAATTGGCATGTAAATTATGATGCTTCAACAAGGGATCATTTATCTATCATATCAACGAAACTGCTTATGGTAAATAAAGGAAAAGAAGCGCTTATTTTTTAAAAATAGATTGCTTATTTTAGTGTGTTTGTGTGGAAAAAGATGTGCGACGTTCAATTCTAGATAAATTTCTGGTCGAATCACCAAACAGCTTTTTTTTTCTTATTAATTGATTACGAAAAACCTATTTTGAGGCGTGATTTTCTTTCTTTAATAGATGCATAGATCCGAAAAAAGATGATGTAAGATTTATAATACCTATTTTTTAAAATTATACATGTTACATATTTATTACAAATTCCGATCATCTAGTAAAATTATCTTAACTTATAAATAAATACCATGATATGGCCGGGTAAACGATCGGATCAAAATGTTGCTTGTTTAGTCAAAAGTTTTTAATTTTTTGGACCGTGTTTGATAAGGAAAATCCCAAAAGAATGTTAAAAAAAAAAGTGAGTTCAATCAATCAAAGGGTTAATTCGAGAACAAAAAAAAAAAAAATGCTTAAAAGAATCAATACTGCAACACAACGATAAATCCTCCTTTTTTGTTTCAATTATCACTTATAGTACTTGGTAAACAAAGATTGTCAATTTTTGATCTGTGTTTATTTTTAACTTTGAAAGGAATCAAATAAACCGATCTGTGTAATCATCATTAACTAAATTGATACAATTATTAATTTGTTTTTTTTTTTTTTTTTTTTTTTTAAAAAAAAAAAAAGTCCTTTTCTTTTTAATTGATGACTTTCTTTTTAATGAATAAAAAAAGTTCATTTCACTGCATAACGATGCATAAATTTTAAAAGAAGCCAAGCATTTAAAAAAAGAACCCGAGCTACTCCCAAATTATTAATATGAAGCACATTATCATTTTTTAGAATGACAATGAGAAAAATACTTTTTAACGGAACAATAATTAATTAATATTTGTCTCACATGAATGAATTATAGAAATTTTTTTAATTGAATTTTTTTTTTTTAATTTTGGGACGTGAAGATCAAAAATTTTTTTAAATAAATTTTTACCTAATTCATCATACTTAACCCCTTTTTAATTAAAAACCAAGCCAACCCCTTTTTCAGTTTATCTCCGATTATAAACGATCTGCAAATTTTTTTAATATATTTGTTGTTTAAAAAAAAAAAAAAAAAAAAAGATAAAAAAAGAAATGACGGCCGAAAACGGTTAGATGTGTTTAAACGTCAAAAATCATTATTTTTCTGTCAGAAAATTCGAAAAAAAATATGTGTCAGATGCTCTCCACTAAAACTTCAAAAGCTAACTCGCATGCAGAATCTAATATTTATGTGAAAAGAAAAAAAAAATAAATGAAACTTAAGCATACATGTATGACAAGAAT